TACAAATAATACAAATCAATGGCAGTAGATTATCAGTAATCCTAAAAAATAAAACTGCCAAACACACATGCTAAAAAACAACAGCTTACACATAGTAAGAAATGGTTATAACAACTGAAACAGAAGCGAAACAAGTAATAGGAAAGAGGATAAATAAAAAGCAATACTTATTAAAACTAATGAAAGTACTATACAAGTATAAGTATTTAGTACAATGGTCCTGCAAGAAAAAGACATGACCCTCAAATCCGTAGCTACAGAACAGCAGAATATGAACGCAATGCTCAAAGTCTCTCGTTAAGCATTTTCCTCCTGTAGAAAAACATAAACACTTAATATGGCGTAATGTATTAAGATACAATAAGTTCAATTAAAAGATCAAATTCGATATATAGTTATTATTTAATGTACTACAAGGCAAACAGATGGCTATGAACACAATGCGCAAACTTTCACTTGTCCTCCCATACAGCAAAGCGCTTAATGTTGTATAATAACGGACTATGATAAAGACAATTCAGTAGCTTATATGTCTTGTTGTTGACTCAAAGTATATACAGACCAACAAATATGAACGTGCATTTTGAAATGCATTAAGTGATTTTAAAAGGATCAACTCCGTACAGGCAAGCAGACGAGCCCAGAACGCAATGCGTTCAATTGCACGTTAAACATTTTCCTCCCATAGAAAATCATTATAAATAAAACACGTAATGTAGTTTAATGGACAAAGACAATGATATAAAAGAGCTGTAGACAGTTTATTCTATATGGAAAAACGCTTAACACGAAACTGTGCGTGTTGCATTTATTCTGGGATCACCTGCTTGCCTGTAGCCTACATTTTCTACAGGAGGAAAACGCTTAACAAGAGACTTTGTGCATTGCGTTCATATTCTGCTGTTCTGGTCACGAATTTGCAGGTCTTGTCTTTTTCTTGCAGGACCCTGTATGTTATTGTTCTAAATTAGTTTTAATCATTAAATCATCTCCACAGCTTCTTGTCTTCATTGGCAACACGCACGATTTGTGTCGATTGCAAGTGACGTCGCAGGTAGCAGAGAGTGCAAGTGGCGATTGCAAGTGACATTGTAATTTAGTTCCTTTCTTCTTGTCTTCACCACCTGGCTACTGTTGTAAAATGTTGAGAGATTCAAACAAAAAGTAATAAAAAATAGAACAAAATAAAAAATTAAGATTGCAAGTGACGTCGCTAGTGGAAGCGCAAGTGTCTGAGAGTGCAAGTCTGAGAGTGCAAGTGCAAGGCTGCAGCCAGACCCTCTTGACTATTTGGACCTTCAACCCGTTGGGTCCCATTGAAGTCCACTATATGGAGAAAAATCCTGAAATGTTTTCCTCAAATACCTTATTTCTTTTTGACTGAAGAAAGAAAGACATTAACATCTTAGATGACATGGGGGTGAGTAAATTATTTGTTCAAGCCTTTATTTAAGAGAAACATTTAGAAACGTGGCCAGACTTACTTGCACTGTGCATGAAAATATTTGATGAGATTCTGAAGCAAGTCGACACCTTTCTTGATCTTGATTTCATTGACTTTGAGGAGGTACTGTAACAAAACAATAGAGGAGACTGAAGCACACACACCGCACAGGAAATGCTTATTGCAGGATTCTCCAATGAAATGAGTCGCCTCTGACCTCACACATCTGAAGCTGAAAGAAACGGCGCTCCTTCTCCATCTCCTCTGCTATCTCCGCTCCACTGATCTCCGTCCGGATCATTCCGTGCTGTCGGGCGTGCTCTTTTTTCTCCTTCTCGATTTTAGAACTGCGTGAAACACACAGACCACCTTAAAAAAAATTCAGACACACAATCGCAAACACACGCACAGGAAACACTCATGCAGCAGGGCATTCTTTTCCATATGCTCCAGCGGCATATTGTACCCCACGTTATAGATGCTGCATTTCCTCTGTGGGGAAGGAGGGCCCTGATCTCAGATACAGGATTCCAGAGAGAGCCTCATGCGTTTGGTTTAGGCCTTTATACGCTCTTAGCTGAAGCAGGCTGGCCATTTCTGGAACCTCTGCTTTCAGAGTTTGAAGCCTAGCGAGGAGATGTGGTCAAGAGATGGCTGAACGCTAGAAGCCATTTCCAAAAAAAAAAACATTTCTAGTCAGTGAAAGTAGAAAATGAAAAGGTAAAAAAAAAAAGATTGTGATAAAATGCATCAAGCGCTGAACGAAGTGATGTGTTAGCATGAGGAGCTGCCTCTGACAACAATTTTGATTTCTGTATTAGGTTCAGTGTTGGGGAGAAGCAAGACTATTAACTTATAATAAATAAAAAATAAAAATAATTGTAATAATTAAATAATTGATAAATAAATAATATTTGATAAATAAATAATAATTGAAAATAAAAATGTTATGCATTTCTATCCTCTGCTGAGCACAAAAGAATTTTAGTTAGTCTAATGAAAATCATTGGCTCGATTCCCAACATTCTTCAAAATATCTTGTGATCCACAGAAGAAAAGTCAAAGTTTCATTACAACATGAGGGTGAGTAAATGATGACTATCTATTATCTTAATGTTTATAATTATAATTATGACTTTTTATAGTTTTAATGAATTTTTATGAGCTTTTTAAATTCAATGAACCATTTCAAAAAGTTGCTTATTTTATTGGGAAAAAAAAGTTTGTGTTTTAGTGCCAAACCAAATTGTATGGCTATTTTCATGGCGAAAGCAATAAAATAAATGATATAAATATTACAGCCTATTGAACATTATCTTTGACTCTATCTTTGATAAAAACTCCAAAAAGTGGTGTAGTCAAATCATTGTTTAATTTTCATATAGTTTTTCAATTACTTTTTTAGACTTTTTTTGTTTTAAATTCATTCAAGTCCAAAAATATAACTCTTAGTAATAATTAAATATGTTAATTAAATATAATTAGCTTTTTGTTGAGACGTCTTTTTTCAGCAGCTTCCCCAACGATTACTTTAGTTATTGCACCTGTACATCTGACAGATGGAAGAAATAAGCCTAAACAGACTCCCTCATGTCAGTACATCACTTCCACCGATGACTGTAAAGAACAGTCCACCATTTTTCACCACAAAGATTATGTTCAATTTCAAACCAGTTAAAACAAAAATGGTGGAGTGTTGCTTTCATCTTTGGGAGAAAGAAACACACGCAAACAAATAAGTAAATATGAATCGTGATTTGATGTTTCCTGCTGTTAACCTGCTCTCCTGAGGCACCACATTATTTTTACTGTCAGAATCATTGTCTCTTAAACAAACACAGCAAGATCTTCAGCATACTCATTAGCAGGATATTTGCACAAATGAAGCCTGAAGCTCAAACTGCAACTTGCGAGAAAGCTGAAAGCTTTGCACAGACACAGAGATTGAAGTGAACTCAAACTGTAGCGGCGGTGACGATGAAAACCAGTTTAATGGAGTCAGGGCCAGAGTCACGTTAGAGGGCGACTTCGTTTCTTTCTGTCTGGAAACATGAAGGTATCGGTCACAATCAAACCCCGGAGATTATATCCGGCGATGGGGGGTGAAACATGTATTTGACTGAGCAAAACTGCCAATGATGGAAAACAGCAATGATATTAAAAAAGACAGCACCTGGCTTCAACGGTAAATCAATGAATCAAATGACGTGTTATAAGAAAATGTATTACCCTTTCAGTAAAGAATGTCCCTTGCAGCTTGGAAAATATATAAAAAGTGCTACATAAATGTCATACATTGTCGCATGCACAGCAATCAGTGTAATAGCAGAGGACAGGAATACAGGAAGTGAGGTGGTAACAATGACAGCTCATTATCCAGAGTGCTGGGCACCACTGATCCCTCATTTGACTCTCAGGACACTGACATTTCCTTTCAATTTAATTAATTTTCAGACTAAGATTTAAGCAAACATGCATGACAGAAATGAATGAATTCTTTGAAAATCTCTTACACTTTGGTCTCATAGTCTTTCCAGGCTTTATCAAAGGGCTTCTTGAGATCCTGCAAAAGAAAGAGAGAGGATATTCATTAGACAGTCTTGGAGTATGACTCAACTTTCATTTTGACATCTGCAGCTTAACCCAAATTGAGGGGGAAATAACTGAGGGGGAAAAAAACAGGCCTGAGCAGAACCAGCCGTTTTAGTGTCAGCATAATGTCTGGTCCACACTGCAGATGCAATGCTTAGTTTTTATCTTCTGAACATCATGATACAGCATTGTCACACAATTCAAAGTTGGCTCATTGGTTGTGTGCTGAATGCACTGAAGAACATTAACAACATATCAAGGATGTTCAGATTTGATGTATCAGCCAGCCAATCAGATTGGAGCTTTTGTTTTGCACAAAAATGGCAAGGTTTGAAGCTTAAGACTAGCAGAAGAGTGGCATAAAATCACCACTCAGATGCCAAGCTCAGTGTACGCCATCACACATGATGTCATGCTCACAAAGAAAGTACCTGATGTAATGCCAGTGCTGTATTCTGTGATGACATCATCTGAAAGCTTCAGGGAAATTCTGCTTGTGCAAACAGAGCGTTCTCCAGCAGCTCTACTGAGGGTTTACTCTAATAACAGAAGGCTGTGATTGTAGAGGGAATTCCTAAGAGTCCTACCAACTTTGTTAATGTGCTTCCATAACAGATGTTGCACACAGCTTGAGTTGTGCTGAAAACAGTCTCATCTGCACCAGCAATAATGGCTCAGTAAGAGCAGTTTGACAAGAAAATGATTTCCACATTGATTCTCCAAAAATTCCATACTTGAATCAATGTAACAGAAATTAGAAGAGACGAGAAGTGCCCATTTAAATATAAATACTAATGCTGGGCAACGATTAACTTTTTTTTTCTTTTCTTTTTTTCCCACGATTAATCGCATGATTTTCTGCGATTAATCGCATTGTTTTGCACAAAATTCAATAATTAATTCAAAAGTAGTGTATTGTGCACTTTTTTTCATTTAAAAGTACTGCTATATGAACAAAAGTGCAATAACATTTGGTTTGCAAACACTTTAAACAAATAAGGTGCTTTTTATTACAGCAGTATTCCTATATTCCTATATTACAGCAGTTTAAATATTTCTTGTAAATCTCAACTTAAACATTAATGTAATCAAATTAAATATAAAACCAAAGCTATTTGCCACTGCATTAACATTTTTATAGACATTTTTTGACCCAACGCAACAGAGTGCGGCGTGGGACAACACTTGATGGGCGAGTGCGGGTGCGGGCGGGTAGAGATTCGTGTGTGCGGGATGCGGGAGTGTACTCACTCTAGGCAATCTTAACTGTGCCCGAGTGCGTTTGACCCCCAAAGCCCGGTTCGTTTGACTAGTGTGATCGCTCCGTGCCGCGCTCAGTCGCGGTTCGTTTAGCCGTCCCTGGCTCGGTTGGAAGAGGTGGGCCAGAGTGCGGTTCAGTTGGGCTTGGGCGCGGTACGCATGTAGTGTGAGTGCTAACCGAACTTCTGATACCTGCAGCACGATTGCGTATATATATATATATATATATATATATATATATATATATATTGTGAGAGGGCCGTGTGTCACCGCGTCTCAAACGACTCGAAATAATAAACCACAAAGTTAACAAAACGATGCACTCCACTGTGCTGAGCGAGAGCGCTTCTCTGCTGTCTTCACGTGCTAACGGAAACTTCCTGTTTCCCACTTATGAAGTCGTGATTACAAGCACGTTCAGAGCCAGTGAGCAACGGGCTTTCATAATAATAATAATAATAATAATAAACTGCGTTAATGCGCGATAAAATAATTGTCAGCGTTAATTAATAGTGTGTTAACGTGATAGTAACGCGTTAACTTGCCCAGCCCTGATAAATACATAAGAGGTACTTATATGTATAAATGATACGTAACTTATTTAATGTTACATAATTGTTGTGGATTTTTTTCAAAAGTGTTGCAATTTTTATATAACTATAATGTGTAAATATGATCAGATCAATTCAATAACACCACCTGTCATTTGCTTTAAACAGAAAAATCATCTACCAACCAAGCTGCTTTTTTCTATATTAGGGTTGTGCCGATAGACGATAGCATCGTGTATCGGTGATAGTCAGAGATATCATCTGTTGTTGATGCCTTTAATGACAGCAAGGTGATTAACTAGGCGCCTATCTTTAGCGATGCAGTGTGGAGATGCTTCAGAAACAAACACAAGCATTGACTTGAGTGGCCGTGTCGGAGCCGTAACGCGCCGCAGACGTGTGCAGTCAGTGTATTTATCATACAACTTTACTGATTATAACGTGTGTTTTTTAAAGTGCATTTTTTTAAAGTGCACTGATTATAATGGAAGTGTTTTTTAAAGTGCATAATACTTGCGCTAGACTGAAGTCAGTTATGATGTTCTTTGGTAATGTAAATGTTATTTGCTCGTTCTTGAATAACAGAGGAAATGTAAGCATTATAATAACTTACAATGTGACTTACAATGTTTCTATTACATTTTTATCGTGTTAAATTCAAATTAATTCATATTAAAACATTAGGCTGCTTTTATCCTTACGATGGAGTAACTTTCCGGCAATGAAACTAATGTAATGTAAGTAAATAATTAAATAAATTAGCACGATAATATTGTGTATCAGCGATCTAACAGGCTGACGATAGGATGATATGACAATTGAGCATATCGCCCAACACTATTCTATATGCAATGAAAACACTCAATGATCACGAGATGTGAAGTCCAAAATAATAAAAACAATATAAAATAAAATAAAAATAAAAAATGAAAATAAAATAAAAATAAAAATAAATCTGCTAAAGGGCTGCAACTTGTAACGAATCAGTCCACTGAAGGCGAGAATAGTGAGAACCCAAGTGCAGTTTTATTTACAGTGTGATCCAAACATCCAAACAAGATACACAGACTTGACTTGACTTGACTTGACTTGACTTGACATGAACAGACTAGACTCACCGACAGCGGGTTACAACATCAATACACGACAAGAGACAATGGCAACATGATGGCTAGTTATAGCAGACAAGGAGGGTCACATGACATGAACAAACCAATGGGAAACAAGACACATGACTAGGACTACCAATCAGAACATGACACAATCACAAGGCAGAGATACATGAAGACTAGCGTAGCATGACACTAACAGGTTGAAACAATTACAAAATAAAAGACATGAAAACATGAACATGAAACAAAACCCAAACACCAAACCCCACATTACACAACTAATCAAAAAATTACTGTAACACTTTAGTATAGGGACCAATTCTCACTATTAACTAGTTGCTTATTAGCATGCCTATTAATAAAATATTGGCTGTTTATTAGTACTTATAAAGCAAATATTCTGTATGACCATATTCTACATCCCTAATCCTACCCAATAACTAAACTTAACAACTACCTTACTAACTATTAATAAGTAGCCAATTAGAAGTTTATTGAGGCAAAAGTCATAGTTAATGGTTTGTTAATAGCGAGAATTGGACCTTAAAATAAAGTGACCATCATTACATATTACAATTAAAATAATCAACTGAAAGTGTATGTGATGATGGCACATTATAATAGTGAAAAACGTTAGAAATCCACACAATAATAACACATTATACAGAAATCTATTTATGCATTGTGCAAGATGATTTTAAAAAATCTGATTAAATGAAAAAACAAATAAATGAATCTACTGTACTATTAAAATGGTGGCCAGTTGCAGTTCTAGTTTGGGGCTGTTTTTAAAACAGTTTGAATGGGAGTGATCTTTAGGGCTCATTATAGGACGGATCTCAATCACCAGAAGGGCCACTTCAGGGATTCAGAGAATGACCGTTCAGCAATTCAACTTATTAACTCGTGAACACAGAAGAGAGTGGACGTAGAGAGACAAAGGGAGGCATTTCTGAATGGCATTACACACTGTCTCGAGCTGCTTCATGTTGCTTTGACTGAACTATAAATCATCATTCCTCACCACACAGCACCAGGATACATATCTCAAACAAGCTGAGTCACATAGTGTCACCTGGACTTTCAAACTGCAACATCTATTAGCCAGAGGGGTCTAAAAAAGCTTGAGTGGGTGGGTTTCACAGCTCAGCGGGCGTCAGCGCTGACATCACTCCCTCTGAGACCGACAAAACCGTCTACACCAGCAAAGCCAGTCCGACTGACTGAACAGAGGAAGTGTCGTTCACAAACACACACTGTAAGACAATAGATGCAGCTGAGAAACAGACAGCACCATCATCAAGTTGAGAGGTTTTGGCATGATGTCAGCTCGTCTGTGCATCGGTTTTATGAGGATTGCAATTTCATCTCCCTCAGCATTTTAGATGACATGCAACTCAGGGTCAAGAAATGGGAATGTTGGGGGTCAAGCTTTCCGACATATTACAATCCCTAACCATTTACAAGTTGAATTAATGAATATTAGTTATCATTGTTACATTCATCCCTATCTAAAATAGTGACAAGGTAACAATAGAGAAAAAAATGAATTAATAAATGAGAATTTAACAAACATAGAGAGTAACAGGATGCTACAATCTTCTGCCCCAGAATACAAAAACCAACTTAACTGAAAAATAAGTAGATTTTAATTAAACATAAGAGAACAACAACAAGTTCTAAACTTACTAAATAACCTATGAAACAAAAAGGGGCAAAAAAAATGAACACTTGACATTAATGTTGACATTAATGTTAATTTACAAATATTTAACAGACTGTAAAGCCAAAGACAGGTAACAAAACAGATGACCTCGTAATGACACCAAAGACATTTAATTTCAAAGATCCATTTGCTGATGGGTTAATGAGGCACAGGTTCAGTTTAATGATTGGAGTGATGGCCGAAGACAAGACCTGCAATCTCCCCCCATTAGCGGCGCCCCCATACTGTGCTCTGAATGAGGCCTGATGCTGACGCAGACTGTTCTGAGACCATTAGCACTCCATAACTGCAGCCGTCAGTGTCCTCCCAATCACCTCTACAG